AACTTTTAAAATTTTTTAAAATTTATAAAAATTCTATCATTCAATCAATCTGGAGAGAAAAAGTAGTGTTTTATCGATCAATACGTACAAAAAAGGCCACGTGGACACAATGAATCCAACTTTGGCTGACCCTACTGGGTCTGACTTCGGACCAAGTGCTTCAGATTCATAATTCATGTACTATCAAAAGCAATCACTGTCATGGATATGAATTAAAGCAAAGGCTGATTTCTTACGTCATTTCAATGGTTAATTATGGGAAGGAGGTTTGGCAGCTTTGTTAAAGGCAGACACTGAGTAACGTACAATCACGGACTCTCCAATCATCCACATTCCTTTCTTAAGCCATTTTAACAGTAATTTTCTCAAAAGGAAATTGGCAGTAGTTGATAGGCAGAGTACTTAAATTCACCCTCAAAGTATAGTAGTAGGGATGGATTCACCTTCGAACAAAAAATAGAGACAAATTCACTCACAAAGTTTTCGACTTGAACAAATCACCCAAAATTTAACGTGTGACATCATTTGACATCAGTAATTTGTTAATTTGACGTCATCTTACGTCAGCAATTCGTTAACGAATTAACGAATTGCTGATGTCAAATGACGTCACACGTTAAATTTGGAGTGATTTGTCCAAATCAAAAATTTTGTGGGTGGATTTATCCCTATTTTTTGTTCGAGGGTGAATCCGTCCCTGCCACTATATTTTGGGGGTGAATTTAGGTATTTTGCCCTAGTTGATACTAATTTTGCGCAACACTTACCTGATTACCAGACATTTTGCTAATAATTTAAATACCAATGAGGTGTAGAGTTTAGCGTTTATCATGCTGTTAATATATTATTAATAATGAAAACCTAGACAAATTCATTGTATTCGTTATCAAAAGCTTACTGTTTTACGACAACAAATTTTGGTGATCAATAAAAGAAAAAGTGATTTTCAAGCATTTTTTTTGTTTCTATAACAGTTTGTCTAGTATAAGAATCAAAAAACTATTTATTAAAAAAAAAATACCGTATCCACTGAAAAAATTATGATGTGTTTTTATTGTCTAACCACTAACCTAGTCAGACCTTGATGTTGCTTTCCTTTTTGTGGCCGTCTAAATTGCTTTCTGTAAAATTTCCACAATGAAAATTCATAGTCCTTACCAGTAGAACCCAAACAGCATCAGAATTTGTGAATGTTAAGAAACTACAACTAAGGTGCATAAGACAATGCATATAGCTCGATTCATATGAAATCTTGTTGCAACATCATGTTCAAAACCAAGCCAGCAAAAGAAAAGAAAAATGTCTAGAGGCTAAAATACCAAAGTTTAGATACACCACATTTTCTGTATTAAGATACATATGTTCTGATAACACAAGGTTTAAATATTGTCCTTAACACCACAATACCAAGCCAAGACATGAAATTAAATACTAACAAGACAAAGTCACACAAGGAGTTCAAAAACTCTGAAGGCTAGTCTTAGAAATCTAAATAATATTGTATAGGTGACAAGAAAATTTGCACATTACACTCACCAAAATCCAAAGGCACATGACCTGTCAGGAAGAAGATATCAGAAACATGAAGAGATTGTATAAGAGATGTGTCCTTATGGGAAATATCAGAAAAGTAAAGTTGATGGAATCAGATAATCCACTCACCATATTGAAGATCAAACCAACACCAGCTTTTATAAAGCATAAATTTCAGTCTTCTTTAGAGTCACCGACACTTTGCAGGTCATAAGGAACGTTTTAAAATTTAAAGGAGGAAAGCAAAATTGTAGGAAAATCTTCAAAATTAAAATTTATGAAGTTACCACAACCTTGCACCTTATTTGATTTGATCGCAAGAGAGCTATAAAATATGAAAAACAAAAGGAAATCCTTTGAGCAAATGAATACCTTTTTTGTGAACAAAAGTTGTATTGTAGGGTTAAGACCACCTTCCCAACATCCTTCATCTTCATCATCTCCTGTTAATTTCACTTTATGCAGTTTTGGTGTACTTACCTCTCCCCTAAAGAAAGTCATCATATATGGACATGCCATCACAATTACATCTTCCAAAGATGTGAATTCAAAGTTGCAATTGCCCAAACAAAAGCCTTCAAGTCTCAGTAAACCTTTAAGTTCCAAAGACTTCAGTTTGGTGAAAACAATGCCGTCCTTCAAGTTGGCCCCTTCTTTTGAGCTGCCTTGCTCCAGCAGTTCACAGTTTTGTACTTTCATCTTTTTGAGAGAAACAAAGCTCAATGCCATAGAAAGAGTTAACAAGTATCTCAAGTTACCACAATTGCAAATTTCTAGAGAGCAAAGCCATCTAAAATTCAAGATCTCTTGAGGTTTCTTGCTTCTTATTCCTATCAACTCAAGAAACTACAAGAGTGTCAGATGCTCTACCACAACATATCCAACCTACAAAATTCAATATATTGCTAGTTATTACACAAGAAATCCAAATAAATTTGTAGAAGGAAAAATGAAAAAACTAAAAAAGGAAACAATAGCTTCTAGCTTGCATTTTATGACATGACTAACAAAGGGCTATCAACCTAACCCAAGCATTTGTAAAGGATAAGTTTAGTCATGAGTCTTCTTTAGTGAGTTGTCATCAGCACTTGTGGCACAGCCTTGCAGGAAAAAGTTTTCAAACTAAAAATCATCAGTGGAGTTTACTGTTATCATCTTACCATGTTTATTTGATCATGCCTGCAATAGGACAATCAAGTAGAAGGAAAGAAAGCTTTAACAATAAAAAATATAAGTGTATCTTTTGAATTACTAGATACCTTTCTGCAAACAACTGTTATATTGTGGGGTTAAGGCCACCTTCCCAACATTCTACACTTTCATCTTCTGTGAATTTTACTTTCTGCAGATTACATGTACTTACTTCTCCCCCATAGAAAGTCATCATATTTGGACACCCCACCACAATTACATCTTCCAAAGACGAGAATTCAAAGCTGCAATTCCCTAAGCAGAAGCTTGCTAGTCTTGATAGACATTTAAGTTGCAAAGACTTCAGTTTGGTAAAAATAATGTCATTCTTGACATCATCATCACCGTGCCATATCTCCTTCAGGTTATCATTCCGTTCCACTATCAGTTCTTCTAGATTGGGGAATGTAGCCTAAAAATTAACAAAAAATTGAAGTACACACCTAGGAGGATGAAATGTGTGTCTGAAGTAAATCCTCTGCTCATTTGGCAAAATGGAGATTCAAAAACCCTAATGCTATTGAATAAATTCTCATAGCTTTCCACTTTTCCGTCCATTTTTTAAACATACATTAGTAAAAGATATTCAATTTAAAATGTCATCGATGTTTATACCTTACTAACCCAGAACAAAGGGCGTTCAATTTGGATTTCAAGTTGGTTCTCTCCACTTGTTCTCGAAAGTTCTGAAGCTAGTATCTGCAATTTATCACATCCACTCACATTCAATTTTTTCAATGATGGCCATTCTGTAGTCTATATTTGAGGGTAGAAACTCTTGAGATTGGGTAGCCACTGAAGATCTAAAGATGTTACTTTTGGAAAGACAAAATTAGGGGTTGTTTCCACCAAAGCTAATTGAGCAATTATTTGTGCTTCTGATTCATCAGCATCTAGTCCTTGAGGTTCAAATATTTCTTCTAGTGAAACACAATTCCTTGTCAGCAGCTTGTCTAGGTTTTGTAGCCTCCTTACCATATTAACTGGAAAAATATTCACTAGTTTTTCACAATGTTTTACACATAGAAGATATAGTTTGTGGAAGGAATCTTCATCAAGTTGTTCATCCCATATCCTGATCAACCTCCTCATCCCTCGAACTATAAGCTTCCCTAAACTAGGGAATCCCACCTAAAAAATTCATTTGATTGCATTAATAACTTAACATATTTGAAGACAAGATGTGTGAAAATAATGAACAAAATCTGACAATTGCTTTGTAGTCAAAAGCTTATTTACAAATTAAAAAAATAATTGAAATAAAATATTTTATATATTTATTTTTTAAAAAACTAAAAATAAATAAATGTATAAACTAAATGAGCGGTGCTATAGGGATAATATTTTTATATAACTTTTACATTTCATTAAATAAGTGAATGCACATAATATCACAGATTTTAATTGAATAAAAAGAACAAACCATGTAATTGATACGTAAAGTTATATAAAAATTGATATAAAAAAAATTATCTCCGAATCATTTTCCAAATTAAATCCATTGTAATCGCTCCGATTTGGAGGGATGGAAAATAAAGGAAGGATTGAAGGAGACTCCATTACCCCTTTATCTCCCTCCCCTCCAAATACTTCAATCCAAAACACACGGTTAATTCTCCCATCAATGTTTGAACTTAATTATAGATAACTATTACAAATTAATACATTAATCTCTACATATAGTATTTACAAATTAATGCATTTCAAGTTGGTTCCTTATGTTTGAACTCGTAAAAAAAGGTTAGAGTCCTAACACCTTATAAATGTTGATATCTTCATTAAAAATTTAAAAATTTACTTTATAAAATGTTAATTAATATGATGAATTTTTAAATTTTAAATTAAATTTTAATTAAATGAAATGATGTTATTTAAAATGAGACTGCAATCTTTTCTTGAAATCAGAAATGATATGCACCATGCTCTATATATGGTATTTACATTTATGCAGATAATAAAAGTACAACAATCGAAGTTGCAACTACTAATGAAAGTGCAACAAGAATCCAGAAAAATTTGTAAAAAGAAAAATTCTTCCTAAAAAGGTTGACCTGATCGCTGAAAAATGGTTCAGTAGGGATGTTAAGCCTTTCTTCACTTCCTCCAACAGTTGTCTCTTTCTCTCGCATTATTGAAAATGTTGAAAATGATACCATCTTTGGACAATTATCCATGTCGATAGACAACAATGATGGAAACTCAAGTTTATAACTTCCCACAATAAAACTTGTCAAGTTGGGAGAATACTTCAGGGTAAGGGACCATAGCCAGGGGAATTTCATTTTATTTACTGGTACCTCTATAACTTCCTCTTCTATGATGATTTTCTCTATCATTTCACAGTTTTGTACGCTGATTTCCTAGATGAGAAAGACTCAACACCATGGATGGAACTGAGGTATCTTAAGCTATCACAGTTACAAATTTCCAGAGAAAAAATGGATTGGAAATTCAATATATCTTGGGGGTTCTTGTTCAATATTTCCATCAATTTAGGAAGCTCCGAGGATTTCAATGGTTTAACCCAGCATATCCAACCTTCAATGCAAAACATTTCTAGTTATAGCACAAAAATACAACTAAAAAAAAAAGAATTAATAACTTTCAATTTGCATTTGATCATATGATTAATAAAGGGATTGCAAGATAGAAAACATTTCTAATTTTATAGTTGAATCCATACCTTTTCTTCATACAATTGATTTATGATGCCATTCAATTCACCCACCAGACGCCCTTCATCGTAGTCATTCAGTAATATTCTCTGTAGCATTGGAGTCTCTATGACTCCCTTACAGAAGGTCTCCATGTTGGGACATCCACTCACAACCAGGCATTCTAAACATGGGAATTTGAAGGCAAAATTGAGTCTTGAACAAAGGCTTGAGAGCTTTTTTAACTGCCTGAGTTTCAAAACTTTTAATTTCTTAAAAATGATCTCATCTTCTAAGCCATCTCTTTCATCTCCAACTATTTTAGTTAGCGAGTTGCAATATGCTATGCTCATTGTTTCAAGTTGAACCAGGCTTTGAGTCGTTGAGCATGAAACCAAGTTTCTTAACCCTGGGCAACACTGTACATCCAAAGTGGTGAGATTGTGGAAAGGTACCGTAGATGCTGTTAAGCTAATCAAGCCATAACAGAAGATCACTTTCAGAATTTTAAGATTTTGAAGAATTAGGTCAGCTCCTCTTAAGTCTTGGTTACATATGTGCCTCAGATTATAAAGTCCTTCCAAATTCAACTCTCTAATATGTAACTGTGTTCCCACACGATTCTCCTGACCATTAGCGTCTCCTTCAGAAGGGAATAACTCCTCCAAACCATCATCAGCTACATGAAGCTTTTCCAGCTTGCGGAAACATTGAAGGAAGCGAATTGAACACAAAAGTGATTTATCTTTGTAAGTAAGAAGACAAAGAACTTTAACATTACAAAAGAGGTCCCTTGGAAATTGCTCATCAAATATCATTGCGATGTCATCACTTTTTAGTGACAGTTTCTCTAATTTAGGAATGACCTAGAAGCAAATCCAATAAAAATATAAGAAATTATAGAGTACTTTTCTATAAGCGAAAAAAAAGTCAAAAATATTAAATGTACTATCAATATGTAACAATAAAATCATTTCTCACTCTTAATTTTGACTTTACGCTTTTCAGGTGAGTTGGGAATGCGAAGAACCAGCAAATTTAGTTTAACAATGCTTACCATATGCTTTTTTCACAGAGTTTTATCTAAAAATTTAAATTTAAATTTTTTTAATTTTAAAATAATTATTATTTTTCAAATTTATTAAATATCTATTTTTTTTTCTCCTTTATGTGGGAGTGGTTTTTTTCTCCTCTGCGTGGGAGTGGCAAATTGTGAGCGTCGACGATGGCAGAGTCAAGTGTTAGCGAGCTAGCGCTAGGTGAGCGGTTGGCTTTAACAGTGGATGAAGACGTGGGGTTGAGTTTGGACGATGGGGATGATACGCAGCAGTGTGGAGGAGGGGATCAATGGTGTTTGGTAGGTATAGTTCTCACTCGAAAACGGTACCATATGGAATCAATGGAAAGAACTCTGGTTGATGTGTGGCGACCAGTGAAGGGGATGCATATGAGGATTTTAGGAAATAATCTCTTTGCCTTCTATTTCTGCCATCCAGTTGATATGCAACGGGTGTTGGCGGAAGGGCCATGGCGTTTTGACAATCATATTATGGTTTTGCAGGAGGCTCAAGGGGGACGACAGGTTCTAAAGGAGGAATTGTTTGAAGTACCGTTTTGGATCTAGATCCATAATCCCCCCTAGATCGTTTGACGGTGGAGTTCGGCAAAAACATAGGAAATGTAATGGCTAGACTTATCGAGGTGGATGTCGGTTAGGGGAATATTTGGGGGTCAAAGTACATACGAGTTAGAGTGGGCATTGATGCTCGTAGGCCTTTAAGACGAGGCGTGAAGTTGACACTCAAAGGAAGGCCGTTGTGGGTGTCATTCCGGTACGAGCGGCTTCTGAACTTCAGCTATTGTTATGGCATGCTAGATCATGTTGAGCGGGATTGTGAAGTGGGACTAGAGTTAGAAAGCATGGGGATGGTTGAGTGGCCTTATAATGATGAGCTGAGGCCAATCCCATGGAGGATACGACAAGGGAGAGGTGCAAATAGTGGAGGTTGGCTTAGGGATGCTTCCTGTAACCCGGTGGCAGAGGTGGGGCGACGGAGAAGGCAAGGTTCAAATTGGAAAGTCCGAGAATTAGGGAGTCACAGGATTTGAGGAGAGGTTTTTCTCCTAATTGGCGGCATGAAGGCCTGAATATGGAAAAAGAATCGAATGCTCATGGTCAAAGGCGAGATCTCCGAAAGGGCACAATTGATTCCTTAGTGCAAAGTTCTGCCCAGAAATTTGGAGATAATGGTGGAGGAGTGGATGATGGAAAAAGGATGATTGAGGTTAATGCGGAAATTAATAGGCGGGAGTTGTGTGGTTTGAAGGAGGTTGATATGGTAAGGCCCATTACTGGAAAAGATCAGAGTTGTGTTGATATTGTGGAGGGAGTTGGGCCTAAAAATGCTCTTGGGATGGTTCAAGGCCCAAACAACACCCTCATTGTGGACAACATAGGTGGCCAAGGTTCAGAGATGGACATAGCTTTTGTCTTGTCATCAGGCCCAAGTAACACTCCTTTTAAGAGAAGAGCTAGGAAGAAAGAGGCCCGCGAAAGAAAGAGCTCAAGTTCACAATTGAAGCATATTGTTAGCAGGGTGAAACGAAAAGATGAGCAAGAGGTGGTGGTAAGGAATGAGGTAGAAGGGGGGGAGAAGCGAGGTAAAGGAGTTGGAGATGATGGAGCTGCAATTATTATATCGACGGGTGTTGCTATGCAGGCCTACTGGTCACAATGAGTCTGTTATGCTGGAATTGCCGAGGGCTTGGGAACCCTCGTGCAGTTCGTAACCTCATCGAATTGGTGAGGTGGAAGAAACCCATAGTGGTGTTCCTCAGTGAAACACGATTGGATAAGCGAAGGATGGAGGGAGTTCGACGTCAGTTGGGTTTTAAGAATTGTTTTACTATTGATAGAGTTGGCACTGGTGGGGGTTTAGCGATGCTATGGCAAGATGGTGTCATTTTATCTTTATTATCCTACTCTCAAAACCATATAGATATGGAGGTCCTAGGGTGGAGGGAGCAGAGGTGGAGGTTCACTGGTTTTTATGGGCACCCAGAAAGAAGTAACAGGAGGCGATCGTGGGCATTGTTGCGGGAGCTCGCAACAAAATCATCTTTACCATGGGTAATTGGGGGTGATTTTAATGATATTCTGGACCAAGAAGAAAAGAGGGGAGGAAAACCACAACCAGAGTGGTTGTTAAGTGGTTTTCAAGAGGCAGTGGTAGATTGTGAGCTTACAGAGGTATGGATGATAGGGTTCCCTTATACATGGACTAGAGGGGGAGTGGAGGAGAAGTTGGATAGAATTCTGGCGTCTAAAGAATGGCAAGCCTCTTTTCCACAAGCAATGGTTCGAAGTTTACCATTGCTAGGCTCAGATCATAGTCCTCTTCTAATGAATTTTATGGGGAAACGTAAAGACTATGGTAGGAAGCAGGCTAGAAGATTCAGGTTTGAAGAAATGTGGCTGCGGGATGAACAATGTTGAGTGATGGTGGAGCGGGGATGGAATGGGCAACAAAGTGAGAGAGGGTTAGTTAGAGTCATGCATCGTTTAAAGGCATGCGCTAACAGTTTAGACAATTGGAACCGAACTTAGTTTGGCAATGTACAAGAGAGAATTAAGCGGTGTGAGGATAGAGTACAAGCTATTAGACAGCTTCCAAGAACAGAAGAAAGGCTGCAGGAGGAGAAGGAGGTCTTGAGGGAGGTTGAGGAGTGGTTGTCACGGGAAGAAGTGATGTGGTGGTAGCGATTGAGAGAAGTGTGGTTGGAGGATGGGGATCGAAATACAAAATTTTTCCATGGGAAAGCCTTTAGGAGAAGGGAGCACAATATGGTGGCAAGGTTGATGGATGCGAGGGGGGTCTGGAAAACAAATTTCATGGGTTTACAGGAGATAGCTACATCATATTTTAATGATTTGTTCTCATCTTCTCATTCGATCAATATTGAACAAGTAATGAGATGCATAGAACGTCAAGGCACCAGTGAGGACAATAGGTACCTACTGAAGGAGTTTAAAGCAGAGGAAGTGATTGAAGCAATTTTCCAGATGCATTCGTTGAAGGCACCAGGGCCATATGGCATGTCACCGGGCTTTTTCCAACATTTTTGGCCAGTGGTGGGGAAAGGAGTTATAGAAGCCTGTCTTGAGTTCTTGAATAATGGTAATAGTTTGCCAAAGGAATTAAATATTACTCATATTATTATGATTCCTAAAGTGGGGGAGCCAAAAGTGATAGGTGATCTACGTCCAATCAGCCTGTGTAATGTGATATATCGGATTATTGCTAAGGTTCTTGCAAATAGATTGAAACAAGTGTTGTCGAGAGTGATTTCGGTTGAGCAAAGTGCTTTCTTGCCTGGTCGATGGATTATAGACAATTTACTTGTAGCCTTCGAAGCGCTCCATTATATGAATTCTAGGTGGGAGCAACAACGAGGGTGGCAAGCCATCAAGCTCGACATGAGTAACGCATATGATAGGGTGGAGTGGAGATATCTAGAAGTTGTAATGGTGGCGATGGGTTTTGATGAGAGGTGGACTGGGTTGATTATGCAATGTGTTAGTACAGTGGAGTATGAAATCCTATTAAATGGGAAGCAGGCATGTCGGATCGTGCCCACTCGTGGTTTATGCCAAGGGGATCCATTGTCCCCATACTTGTTTATTTTATGTGCAGAGGGTCTCACGGGCATGATCAAGGACGCCGAGAATAAAAGGTTGCTCCACGGTATCAGGGTATGTCGACAGGCTCCTACTATTTCCTATTTACTTTTTGCTGATGACAGCCTTTTCTTTTTGAGAGCAATAGTGAAGGAAGCAGAAGTAGTGCAACAGATTTTGAAGGGGTATAGAGAGGCTTCAGGCCAAGTTGTGAACTTCCATAAATCATCTATTTTGTTCAGTAGGAATGTTCAACAAAGGGTACATAATCAAATTAGTCAGTTGTTAGCTGTACAGGAGGTAGAACATCATGGTTGCTACTTAGGTCTTCCTACCCATATTGGTAGATCAAAAGTGGACGCTTTTGCAGGCTTAAAAGGCAAATTTGGGCGAGGATTAAGGAGTGGTAGGAGCACTCTCTCTCACGAGCGGGTTGTCTTGTGCTCATCAAATCTGTGTTGCAATCTTTACCCACTTATATTATGAGTATTTTTAAACTCCCCATTACTCTTTGTAAAGCCTTGGAAAGTATCATGGGGAGATACTGGTGGGGAGGGGGTAAAGACAATCACAAGATCCATTGGGTAGAATGGAGGAGATTGATGAGACCAAAGAGAGAAGGGGGATTGGGCTTTCGGTCGCTTCACGAATTTGATATGGCCATGCTGGCCAAGCAGGGTTGGAGATTGATGAGAGAGCCAAACTCGCTAGCTGGTAGAGTTTTAAAGGTGAAATACTTTCGTAGAACTGACTTTCTACATTCAAGAGAAGCATATAGTGCTAGCCTTACATGGAAAGGTATCTGGGAGGCAAGATATATCCTCCAAGCAGGTTGTCGAAGGCGTATCGGAAATGGTAGAAGCACTAGGGTGTGGGAATACCCATGGCTTCTTGGTTCATCATGCTTTAATATTGTGACTCCTAGACCAGATGGGTGTGAGGTGGAATGGGTTTTAGAGTTGATTGATGACGTTATGCATAGCTGGAGAAGGCAATTAGTGTATCAATTATTTTCAGAGTATGAGACAGTTAATTTTGTCCATCCCAATTAGCTGGAGAAGTTTAGAGGATGATTGGGTTTGGCAGCATACAAGAGGGGGGTGTGACTCAGTGAAATCAAGATATCATGTGGCCTGTCAATCTCATTAGGATCTTCAACAACCATCATTCTCTACAGGTGAGTTTCGAGGACAAACTTTGTGGAGGTTGGAGCTACTGGAGAGGATTAAAGTTTTCCTTTGGAGTGCTTATAAGGATATACTCCCAACAAAGGAAAACTTACGTAAGAGATGGGTGGACATTGATAACTACTGTCTAGTTTGTGGAGAGATGACTGAAACAGGGGTGCATGTTCTGAAGGATTGCCAGTTTGCACGAGCTGTATGGTTGGGGAGTCAGTTAAACCTTCGTGTTGCGGATCTACAGGTGGATAGTTTCGCTGAATTTTTTGACACAGTTGCTCTCGCTGTTGACCAGAGTAAGCTTGAGTTGTTTGGGTTAGTCTGCTGGTCTCTGTGGAACAATCGTAATGATATATTATGGGAGAGTAAGAGGCAACAACCACAGCAAGTTTGTGAGATGGCAGTTCGATTTTTGCAGGAGTACGCTAAAGCGGTAAAACACAAATGTGGGACGCGAGGAGGACCAAGGAGAGGGGAGATAAAGTGGGAACCACCCGATGAATCACATTTTAAGGTGAATGTGGATGGGGTTGTGTTCCAACACTCCAAGGAATTTGGTGTTAGAGCGGTGGTGCGTGATTGTAATGGGGAGGTAATTGCAGCTATGTCATCCGACGACAAGGGACTCTCCGAGTCGAGGCGGTGGAGGCCTATGGCCTGCGTGGAGCATTGTAGTGGGCAAACGAACTGGGATTAAGGAAGATTATTGTTGAGTGTGATTGTGCGGATGTCGTACAGCGGCTCGAGTCTCAACATGCAGTGTTGTTATCAGAGTTAGGGGGAGTGTTGGAGGACTGTAAAGGCTTGATGGATAGATTTAACGAACGCCGAGTGCAACATGTTCGAAGGGCAGGGAATCAAGTGGCTCATGAATTGCATGCAGAGCTGAATATATTGCAGGAAACGAGTTTTGGTTTGAAGAGGTTTCTGATCCAATCAAGGCTTTTGTACTAAATGACATGGCTTAGTCTGTATTGATTACACCTTCCTCATTTTTGAGACATGAAATAATACTCAGTAGTATTGACCATAAAAAAAAAAAACCCTTATTAGTATCTAGGAGTTACATTATCACTTAACTAATTTGGAGTTAAGTCATGTCAAATTCTACAAGAAAAAACTCGTACAATATTTATCTTTTTATTCACATAATTTAAACTCAAAATCTTATTTTAAAAAAATCAAACTCTTTTCATTTAGATTAACAAGTATTTAGGGCGTTTATAGTTACTTAAAAATTGTTGATGTAACCAATTTTAACATAAAAATAAGTACTCTTTTACTTTACTATACAAAAAAATATTTTACTACTAGATTATATTAAATTGTAAAATATCAATTATATGAGGCATCTTATCATTTAATAAATAATATTTTATAATTTAATACAATAAAAAATATTTATCAATAAAATCTCTAAAAAACTAAATAAAAAATATTTAAAAATTATAATTTTTAATACAATTCAAACTATAAAATATAAACTTATTTACAAGATTCTATACTTCCTTAGCCTGCCACTGCTTTATATTCCGTCTCTGTGGTGGATAAGGAAACCATAAGAGTAAATAATTTTTTTTTTTGGACAAGATCAATAGTTAGTAGATTAGTTTTATTAGTTGTTAGCAACTGAGGATTCGATCCCCAGGTCTGATGAACATCCCACCTCCCTCAATGAGGCGTGGCGCCTATCCGGCCGCTTGATGGAGTTCCATAAGAGTAAATAATATTCTATTCTTTCTCGGCAAAAAATTCTTTGCCCTAGCAAGAAACTATAAGAGTAAACAATATTCTATTCTTTCTCGGCAAAAAACTTTTTGTCCCAGCAGGAAACTATAAGAGTAAATAATATTCTATTCTTTCTCAGCAAAAAGCTCTTTGTCCCAGCAAGAAACTATAAGGGTAAATAAAATTTTTATTCTCTCTAGACCAAAAATTCTATTACTTATTTATTTTTAATAAATTTAATTTATTTTTAAATTTTTTAGATAGAAATTTTAAATAAACATTTAATATATTATATAAATAATAATTAAAAAAATTTTATTAATTAAATTTTTTATTAAATAAAAATACTTAACAAAAATTATATATATAAAAAATTAATTATTATTTATATATATGATTAAATTTTTATTTAAAATTTATATTTTAAAAATTAAAAAGTTCAAATTACATTAACGATAAGTTTGCAGAGAGAGTATAAGAGTAAGTAATATTCTTTTCTTTCTAGACAACTCTTACAATATTCTTTTCTTTCTAGGGCAAAATATCTTTGTCCCAGCAGATCTTTGGTGTTCTTTAACTTTGGATAGAGGCAGTAATTTTTCTTTTTTTGGTGTTTAGATGAGAGAAATGAAAGGAAAGGACACGATTTAATAGGAGGAAATCGTTTCCTCTCATTTACTTTCTCCTCATTTATTCAATCCAAGTGTTTTTTTTCTTTTTTCTTTTGCTTTTCAGAAGTCCGGATACTTCTGATAAAAAAAAAGAAGGTAAATAACAGAATAAACTGACCATCTCCGCGTTTTCACCTTTTTGTTTAGGGATAAAAAATGTATATATATTATAAGTTAAGTAATTAAAAATATATATTTTTAGATAAATTTAATGAATTAATTGATATACGTGTATTATTTATAGTTTAAAGATAAAAAAATACAAAATATAATTTATGGACTAAAAACAAGGTTAAATACTCAAGTTAGTCCCTTAACTTTTAATTTTAGACTAAATTTGTCCCTAAATTTTAAAATTACTATATTCATCCTTAAACTTTATTGGTCCTTCCATCTAAAATTGAATCGGAAAACTCAAGTTTAAAGATAAATTTAGTAATTTTTAAAGTTAAAGGATGAACTTATCTAACATTGAAAGTTGAGGAACTAAATTGGTTATTTAACCTAAAACACCATTAAATTGCCACTTCACATAGAAAAAGGCCAATAATGCAATGAAGGTGGGCTTTTATTTAAAAAAAAAGGGTCTGTACAAACCAACTCATCCTAGCAGCTTGTTACAATAAGAGATGTGGTTTCTTTGTCCATTGCAAAAACTACCTACAATTGCTCTCTGGTTATGATTACATGGATGCCTTGCAATTGAAGCAATTAAGACTCAAATAAGCTAAAACACAAATGTTCTGTATTTTTGTCCCAACAATTTGGACTGTTTTTGGATACTAACCCTCTGGTATTCGAAAGTTACATTGGACTTCGATTAATCTAAAGTCGAGTCGCATTAGATCTCATAAAGGGAGTAGCTCTTTTAGTGCCTGTTTCTCCATTCACAAGATTCAAACTCGAGATTTTGCTTTAAAAAAATCGAGCTCCTTCTACTTGGACCAATAAGTTATTGGTAATTTGGATTGTTAATGGTGCTAAGAAGAACCTTAATAATTTAAGCCACCCATACTGCCCATTATTGGAGCTTCCTTCTCATCCTTTGGGAGCTTAGATACAACAGCTTCAGTTGTTGTCATCAATAATGATACACTAAAAAACAGAGGTAGCACGTCATTACTTAAAGCTATACCAAAATACAAGATTGATATATATATATATATATATA